CTCAAAAATTCGATTTTTGGTATGAAATAAAAGTGATCACAGATTATCATTGTTTTGGCCCTGTCTCTTCTAGTTTCCAAAATAAATGGACTTTTATGTTTTCACTCAAAAATTCGATTTTTGGTATGAAATAAAAGTGATCACAGATTATCATTGTTTTGGCCCTATCTCTTCTAGTTTCCAAGATAAATGGACTTTTATGTTTTCATTAAAAATTCGATTTTTGGTATGAAATAAAAATGATCACAGATTTTTTCATCTCTACTAGTTTCCAAGATAAATGGACTTTTATATTTGCACTCAAAAAATCTATTTTTGGTATGTAATAAAAGTGATCACAGTTTGTCATTGTTTTGGCCCTATCTCTTATAGTTTCCAAGATAAATGGACTTTTATGTTTTCTATAAAAAATTCCATTTTTGATAGGAAATAGAAGTAATCGCAGATTATGTTTATTTTGGAACTATCTCTTCTAGTTTCCAATATAATTGGACTTTTATTTTTTCAATCAAAGAATCGGTTTCCATCAATCTAGTTTCCATCAAAATTTAACTTGTATTAAGCCAAAGAAAACTTCAGAAATTTTATGACTACCTTTTTTTTTTTGTCAATTCGTTCTGTTAATTTAACTACTATTTTTAATTCACAGAATTTCCTATTTAGTTTGAGAAATATGTACATATGTTGTTAAACATATTTGGTAATTTGTACAGTTTATTTGTTTTTAAAAACATTAAACTAAACTTTAGAACATGTACTTTAATTAGAGGGTAAATGTACTTTAAAACAAGTTGTACACATACAATGTACATTTTGGGTGACAAAATTTTGTTACAACACTTTAAAATTATGTTAAATTTCATAAGTTCTAGTAGATACTAATAAAATAACATAAATTGTTGAACTACTTACATAGTGTAGTTCAACATGTTTAAATAATAAAATAGAATTTAGTATGAGAAAGAAATATGAACTATAAATATTTCATTTTTGAAAATCAGGTCAATTTGTGACAATTTAACAGTTATGTTAATTTATAAAAATATATAGAATAAAATGGATCCGAATGTTCAACCAATCTGTTAGTATTTATTAGCAGAACTGAAAGTCTTACGTTAATGTTACTTCATTTTGATACGTTTTATAAATGTTTGTTGGATAATTTTAAGCCGAAATTTAATTTGAACGAACTACTTATAAACAATTAATAAATTTCAATAGCCTTTATTTTTTCTATCAGCTTCTTTCAAATAAAAATCAAAAAAATAGTCAATATTTTTTCATATTATTTTATTTTTCTAAAATATTATTCAACTCTAAACAAAATAATCCCTCAAGACTCAAGGATTAATTAATATTTATTTAACATTAAAATAACGAAATAAAAACCAAATAAATAACGCGTTTTTGACTTGTCAAAAAAATTCGCTACATTTTCAAAATATCGAGAGAAAAAAAAATGTTGAAAAACACTAATTTGGAATTACGTGATGTAACGAGTAGTGTTACTTGCAGCAAAAAATTAAATCGTTGCCGTTCTTTTCATTTTCGTTATTTGGAATTGTGTCGTGCGAAAAATCTTACTCCTCTAACCGAAATTCGTTCCAAGAATAATGCTACCTCAGTTTTGGATTTTTTCGGTGATAAATTAAATGTTAACGATTGGCTGTTGATAATGGAGGCTTTATACTATGATCAAGTTTTGCAGACATTGGGCATACGTATGCGCAAAACTTTTGGAATGGGTATTTTTTGAAGAAGTAAAATTTTGATAAAAATTTGTTTTAATAGTTTTAGTAATTTTCAGTTTTAGAACATTTGGATACTGAGAAAAAAGCAAAATTATTTCGTCAGAAATCGGTGCTTTATACAAAATTTATATTTTCCGGTGTAGTGGAGGCCATATCGAATTGCATTGAATTTAATAAGAATTTGAGAATTTTGAATCTAGAGGGATTACCTTTAAATGATAAATATGTAGAGTCAATAGCTAAGGTAAATAAGAGTAATAAAAATCTAGATTTAGAAGAGTTATTCTTTTAAATTCTCCAGGCGCTATCTATAAATGAAAGTATTAAAGAGCTTAGTTTTCAACGTTCTAATATTGGGGATAAAGGTTGTGAAGCCATTTGTTGTACCATGAAATATTTAGCCAATGTAGAAAAATTAAATTTATCAGAATGTGAACTTACCTCCAAGGGAGCCGAATATGTGGGCGAAATGATAAAGGTATTTCAAAATTTATATTTTAAGTATGAGCCTTTAAACTGACCATTTTTCAAAACATAAAAGATACAAAAAATTAGTCGTTATTCGGAGGGTTGGCAAAAGTCCTTAAGATATCGTGAGGTTGATCCCGAAACTATGCCCGGCTTACGTTCAATAGCCCTTTCACGTAACCCCCAAATAGGTGATGAAGGCATTAAGCCCATAGTAGAGGTTTTAAAAGAAGATGTATGGATAAAAGGTGGGTGCTTCAAAAGAGGGAGGAATTAATAAGTATCAAATTATGATTGTATTATTTTGTCTTAAGTCATCGACATGGAGAATTGTGGTTTAACTGATCGTGCTGCCAATCTAATATTGGACTGTTTGGAAATCAATAATTATATAAACGATTTTAATGTTAGCGGTAATACGGGCATTAGTAAATTTCTTTTGCGCAGCATACGTGAACAACTGGGCAAAGAAGATGAAGATCAAAAGTTGAGAGCGACTCAAGAGGAACTAGTGCCGGGCCCAAATGGTGTTCTAATCAAACGGAAAAAAGTTACGGTAGCGGCTTTAAAAGAGCAAATAAAAACTCTTGAGGAACAACTAGCCTTCGAGAGAGTTCTACGCAAAAAGGCCGAACAATTAAATGAAAAATTAAATCAACAGATAATGGCTTATGAACATCAATTGGAAAATAATCTCAATTCGAATATACCCGAAGGTTATGTTATGGTCAAAAATGAATCCCTACAATCGATTATTAAAGAGTAAGTTTTATCCTACAAATATAAATTAAAGGTTAAACATTTGTTTATCTTGTGACTCCCCCTTAGACGTAACGACTTTCAAAAGCTAGCAGCAGGAGTTGCTAGCAATGACTCTACGCCCCGTAATAATATAACCCTGGCTAAACAAACAAATCGTAAGGCTTCGGAAATGTCTAATCCCAGTGCTCCCCTTAATTCACCCTCTACTTTGAATACCCCTATGAGCCAGGCTGAACAACGTAAATCCTTAAAAGTTCGTAAAGTTAAGAGTGAAGTTAAATATACAGAATCTGGAGTCAAAGATTCTACTCGCAGTAAAAATAAAGAATCCAAATCAGATCATGAATTTTCAAATGAAACAGATGTAAGTTTTGAAAATGTATTGGCTAAAATAATTTCTGATATTTTATGCTCCTCCCATAATTTGGTTTCTAGAATCAAAGTAGAATTTTCATAATCTTGAATTTTAAAATTAAATAATTTTTTATTTTATTGTTTATATTTACAGTTAGTTTGTTTTATTGTATGTAGTATCAATTAATTTATGATTTTAATTATAAAATATTCGGAAATTTTTACTAAAATGTGAATGAATAACTGCGTAATTTGATTCCTGTGTTAACATATTCAACATTTATTTATTCCTACACATATATTTCTAGACAATAGAAAGCGATTTACTTTCGAATCGAATTACACAGTAGATTCTTGAATTGTTTATTTCTTTTTGTTATGAAGTTAAAAAAATTAAATTATAGGCCGAGAATAATTTTTAGAAATTCCAATTAAGTCGTAATTCAATTTCGATCTAAAAATTTTAGAATCAATTACATGTCCCTACATTTGCATTATAGACATAAACCATTTACCAAAACATAGTCCGTGATTTTTAATATAATTCAATTGCAAATTATTGAAATACTTGTAGAAGTTGTATACAATTTTAATATTTTAAAATAATATCACCATTTTTTCCACTCTTCTACTTACAGTTCCAATTGACTGCTATACATTTTGAAACTAATATTGGCGATTCGATGACCAACAATCCAATTAACAATAAAGAGAAAAAAGTTAGCCCCAAACCTCGTCAAAATAATTATGAAAATCTAACAAAAATTGAACTAGACGATTTGTCAATACCCCCAAGCACACGCAGTATGAGTAGTGACATACATTCAAGTGATTCGGATACTCTGCGTAATGACGGAGAATGTCAACCTTTAAAAGTTTTTATACGTCGAGCAAAACCAATGCCCCTGACTCCAATGCCTAAAGCACAAGTGGAAGAAGGCGAAACTGGTGGTTATCAGAATTTTGAGGCAAATTTAAATGCTTTATTGAGATCACCACGATCACTATTTCGGGGATTGTGTGATGATTGATGGATGAACAGCAAGAAAAGGTATTTTTTATAATATATTTTTTTTTTCAATTTTTAGGATTGACTCAAGATAGTTTATAAACTTTTTTCATAGTGGCTCAATCATTTTACAAAATTGTTGTTAGACTTCATATCGAATTTGTCTTTTTTTCCATACTATCCAGGGTTGAAATAGTAGTCTGCTACTTAAGCTTTTATATTTGTACACAATTGATTATGTAAATTAATAAACTAATGATATTTTTAAAAAACAAACTAAATATGTTATTGTTTGTTTAATGTAATACGTACACGACAAAGCCAATTTGCTGATCTTGCTCCAATCAATCTATACATACTTTGGTATATAACATTCAACAACTCTGCTAAATGGGTTTGTTTTGATACTCCACTAATACAAATCCCGAAATTTTATCTAAAACTAATTTAAACATTTGTAAAAACGTAATTTATCTAAAAATTTAAAAAAAATATAACAATATTTTGATCAATTGGAAAATGTGCCGCACATCTAAATTTTTGTTTTAATAAAAAAAACAAGATTTTCGAATAAAATTCTTTATTCTTTTATCATCATGATTATTAATACATATAGACAATGAAATACGTCATAAAATTCTTTCTTTAAAAGTTAATTATCAAGTCAAATAGATATTTTTAAGAATGTTGTGAAATTTTTCTGGAAAATTACATTAAGAATTGAAAAATGGAAACTACAGTTTTTTCTACATTTACAAATTGTGTCTGGTTATTGGAATACATATTTAAGGTTAACATTTTTAAGTTTTTATAATACTTGTCACCAAATTGTCTAATGCGACTAATAAAATTGTGTGTTAAGGTATTTAATTGTTTAACCACCAAAACCGTACAAAGTACGACCTTGACGCTTCAAAGCATAGACCACATCCATGGCGGTAACAGTTTTACGTTTAGCATGTTCGGTGTATGTAACAGCATCACGAATGACGTTTTCCAAAAAGACCTAAAGCGGAGACAAAAAAACAATAAATCAGTATATAGTAGTAAAGAAAAAAGTTTAAGGAAAAACTTAATTTTTCCTCTTCGATAACCAACTTTTAATACGCCACGAGTTTCTTCATAGATTAAACCCGAAATACGCTTTACACCACCACGACGGGCTAGACGACGTATGGCCGGCTTGGTAATACCCTGGATGTTATCACGAAGTACCTTACGATGACGCTTGGCACCACCTTTACCCAAACCTTTGCCACCTTTACCACGACCTGTCATTGTTTAAGTTTTTCTTGTTTTTTACGTTTGAAAGAGCTAAATTTCAAAGAAAATGTTTTAATTTATATTATAAATGTAATATTTTTTTCTTTGTTTAACAATTTATTAAAAATTTCTTACCTTCAGCTTATTTTAATGCAACTTGCAGTTAGCAAAAATGGCGACTAATTTGAACGTCGGCGGCGACTGCCACTAAATATGTCGGCGGCGGCTTAATCGACTGTAAGCCGGCTAAGTTTTCAACTACGTTTACCCAGCAAAAAAAGACGTGCAAAAAAAGTAGTAAATGCATGGGTTGAACTGATAATGAACTGGTTCATATTTAGGGGAAACATGCATGATTTTAACATTAGCGTGTCATTGGCATGCATGTGTTCGTATTTGGAAAAATAGTTCGTCATTTAAATGAGTTCTTATAACCAATGAATATTCGATGATTCTCAAGCGAATTTTCATTGGTGCACTATATTTATTTAAAAATGCATTAATAATGGTATTTCGATTTAGTTATCAATATTTAAATATTTTTTTTGCGTGATATTGATAAAAATAAAATAAGATAAAACATAACTAACTGATTTTTATTAGATTTAAATTCATGCAGAGGAAAAATACCCATTGTGTTTTAAAATCCGTTAAGCAGTCTTGTTTTTTTCCTTCTCTTATTAATGTTAAAATGGACTTAATATTACTAGGTAGGTAGGTACCTACAAAAACAAAAATCTAATAAAAAAATTAATGTCATTTTTAATATTTATTGTATGAAATGCACGTTTTCGTTAAATCTCCTAAGAGAATACCAAATTATAGTAAAATATTACAATTCCTATAGTGGAGTTACATGAGTGAATTTGGGTGCATTTTTCATGCCTTCACTGATGACAAATTTATTAGAATTTAGGCATGTATTTAAAACGCATTAAATAGAATACGTACAAAAGAAATCATGAAAATATCCCTTCTCTTTAACAACTTCAAATTTTTTTTGCTGGGTAGTTTTTAAATTTTCAACGATTTTAAATAAAAACGGAATCCGAGAGATCAGAAAGTGGGATTTTGGAAGCAAGGATCTGCCGATATCTAACCCTATCCTCCTCTAAATGTTCTTCAGTAAAATTTGAAGATTCTAGCTCTAATAGTTTCTCAGATATAAGAATTTTTCTATTTAATTCATATGGGAGCTCCAAGCCCCCCAGATGAAAGTCCGCCCTTTTTTCTCCAAAATGTTCAGATGAATATTAAAATTCTTCAGATGAATTCTAAAATTCTTGAAGAATTTAGTTCTATTAGTTTCCCCGAATTTTTGTATTTAATTCATATGGGAGGTTCCGCTCCCCTCATTGGTAGTCCCCCAATTTATTACCCAAATTGTTTACATGGATGTTAAAATTCTTTCAGAACAACATCATTTAAAGGGATCACAAAGAGATTGAAAAATATTCCAAAAGTTTCACTTTGAAAACAAACAAAACTCGCAACTCTAAAGGCAGACTATTCCTATTTTAGCGGTAATTTCTTTATGATTAAAATAAGTAAGAAGTAAGAGTTATATTCGGCAAATCATATGTCGTAAAAAAATAAATTTCGGAAGTGGAAGTGGTCATATACATATATATGGACTTTGATCATTAGATTAATAAGAACGTCAATGTGATTTTCGGATTAAATGTGGAATTGGGTCAATTATGGACAAAGTTCTCTATAATTTAAAGTATTTTTTTTTTAATTCTACCATAATTCTATCATAATGATAACTTTTGGAATGATGTATTAGCTATAAACTGATTTTCTGTAAGAGGGTTATATTGGCGGACTGATCCTCATAATTTTATTTTTCATAAATGTAGGTTTCGGTTCCTAAAAATATTTTTTTCGTCGACATTTGAAAGCCATTTATATGCGTTTAAGTCATTTTCTAAAGAAGATTTCATATACATATTTACATTACATATTTTCATTCCAACAAAAATTGTTTTATTATGGTATTATTAAGTACGTAGAAAACGTTAAAATCAATTATTGAAGGGGACATGGTCAATTATGGCCTATAGAGATTTCGATTGATATCAAGCCCTTTTTGCAAAATGGACGTAAGCGAGATAAATTTTCGTTCAATTAGGATAGGTACTGCGTGTTTAATTTTATGTTTATATATTCAATATTTTAAAAAATTCAAAAAGTACCAGTTAATGAACGAAAAATTACCAGAAATACTCCAGTTTAAATTTTCATTCACTCAAGTCCCTGATTGCTTAGTTTTATGTTTTTAGGTTCATTATAATAGAAAATTCAAATAGTACCAGTTGAAGAACGAAAAAGTATCAAAAAGTCCCGTTTTATTTGTTTTCACTTTCTCCATGCCCTACAGGTTTAATTTCATGTCTATAGGTTCAACATTATAGAAAATTCAAAAAATACCTTTTGAAGAACGAAAAAGTACCAAAAAGTCTCCCTTTTATATGTTATCACTTAATCCGGGCTGTACATTCCTAATTTCATGTTTCTAGGTTCAATATTATAAAAAATTCAAAAAGTACCAGTCGAAGAACGAAAAAGTACCAAAAAGTCCCTTTTTATATGTTATCACTTAATCCTAGCTGTACATTCTTAATTTCATGTTTCTAAGTCCAATATTATAAAAAATTCAAAAAGTACCAGTCGAAGAACAAAAAAGTACTAAAAAGTCCCTTTTTATAGATTATAATTTATTCCGGGCTCTACATATTTATTTTTATGTTTCTAGGTTTAATTTTATGGAAAACTCAAAAAGTACCAGTCGAAGTACGATAAAGTTCCCCTTTTATGTATTCTCATTTACTCCAGGCTCTAAGTGCTTAATTTCATGTTTCGAGGTTCAAATTTTGTAGCAAGCTCAAAAAGTGCCAGTCAAAGAACGAAAAAGTACCAAAAAGTGCAATTTTATAGATTCTCATTTACTCCGGACTCTACGTCCAAATTTCATGTTTCTATGTTCAATTTAATAGAAAACTCAAAAAGTACCTTTTGAAGAACGAAAAAGTACCAAAAAGTCCCCTTATAGGACCTCACTTAATCCGGGCTCTACATGCTTAATTTTCTTAACGTTTCTAGGTTCATTATTATACAAAAACTTAAAATGTACCTTTTGAAGAACCAAAAAGTCCCCTTTTACAGGTTCTCACTTAATCGGGGCTCTACATGCTTTCATGTTTCTAGGTTTAATATTATAGAAAATTCAAAAAGTTCCTTTTGAAGAACGAAAAAGTACCAAAAAGTCTACTTTCTTAATTACATGTTTCTAAGTTCTATGTCAAAAAAGTACCAGTCGTAGTACGATAGAGTACCAATAAGTCCCATTTTATAGATTCTCATTTACTCCGGACTCTACTTGCTTAATATCATGTTTCTAGGTTAAATTTTATAAAAAACTCAAAAAGTACCTTTATAGAACGAAACAGTTCCGAAAAGTCTCTTAATTATTAATTTCATGTTTCGATTTCAATATAGAAAACTCAAAAAGTACCAGTTGGAGAAAGAAAAAGTACCAAAAAAAATATCACTTGGTACCGGTGTTCCAAATAACACCCCATTAGCATGTTTAGTGTTTCTTGAATAAAATCAAATTTCCCGTTTTTACCCCTTTTGGTACTTTTTTCCTCCCCATTGACGAAATAAAAATTCTGTTCCAAAAAGTTGCAACATTGTATTGGGAGCCCGTTATTATGTATTCATATGTATAAGTTAATAAACCAAAAAAAATGTTTTAGAAAAAAGTACCAAAAATAGGTACAATTTTCACCCCTTAAACGTCCGAATATCCAAAAAGTACTAAATTCATATTTTTATTTTTTCGTCAAATTATGAAGGATTCAAAAATATTCTTTGAATGTTCTCTGGTTTAAAAGATACATGGGGTGCAAAAGAAATACCAAATTACAGTTTTTCCCGTTTATTCCCCAAAGGGGCCGAATTTGAAAAAATTACCGGACACCTGTCCGCTTTTTTTAAAATGAACGACGATAAGCTTAACTGTTTTTGTAACTTTTCTAGTTTAGGAGATTTGAGGTTACCGAATTTACGTTTTTACCCTTTTTTAACCCCCAAAAAATTCGAATTTCCAAAAATCCCTTCTTATTGGATACATTTGGTGGGAGACCAACCTCCTCCCCAAATTTCAGCTCTTTAGCTTCAACCGTTTAGGCTCTACGATGATGAATCAGTCAGTCAGTCAGTTACGTTAGAATTTTATATACGTATCCCAATAAGCACTCAAAAAATTAAAATTCAAGTGCTTGTGTTTTAATTGGAATTCAACTTAAATTCCAGCTTATTTTTCAAATATTTTTCAAGTAAAAAAATTTTGAAAAATATTTAAAGTTTTATTCAAACTTAATTTTTATTGTCAAAAAAAATTATTAATTTTGTGATTTTCCAAGATTTAAACCGTGAAAGCAAAAAACAATTAATAAAATAAAGTAAAAAATATAGATTAAAAAATACACCGTCGAAAGTTTCAATCAAAAATTATAGTAAGTGTCATAGTAAGAAGAATTAAATTAAATGCAGAAAAAATTGTTAATTTTTGCTCAACGCTCGCAAGACAACGACTCGATTCAAAATTAGCAAGTTAATCAAAATGTAAGTAATCTACCTCAAAATGAAACGCTTTTTCAAAACAACACCATCAACGAAGTAATGAATTGAAAATTAATTTAGCTAAAACTTCATATGCAATAAAAGAAGATTTTATTAAGATTGAGGCAAAAATTCAAGATTCAGAAGAAAATTTTGAGAAACTAGTATACCAGAATCAGTAGAAGATGATGTTACTAAACAGTTTTGTTGGCAAGGTTCCAAAGATAAATCGAGATAAAAAAATTTTTCAACTATGTTAGCAGTTAAAGGTACCTATTTATTTAAATTTGATATTTTGGATGTGGGATTTTCGACTAAATTTACAAATATTTCAGTTGCGTACCGCCAAAAATTTGCCGATCACAGCGAATCACAATTTGAAAAAGTAGTTATAACGTTTTTCCAGCAAGCAAAAAATCGACACGGCAAAAAACAAAGAAATCATTTTAATTTGTTGTAATATATTCTAAATGTTTCTAAACTTTACTTTACATTTTTACTTATAATTAATATTTGCAAACAATTAAAAGGCTTGTTTACATACATATACACATGTATGTATGTATATCATTGCATTATTTTAAGTAAATTTACTAAAAATTTTAATATTTAAATTTACATATTTTTTTTAGTAATATTTTGTTGTTAACATAATTTTGTGTTACATAAATATATGAAATAATTTAAATATTAAAAAATCAAGTTAATTTTATTTAGGAGTTTAGTAGAGTGGCATTAAAAATGCTTGAATAGCACTGTTTTTTTTACTTGAATTACCTTATACTTCAAAGGTTTGAATTAAGCTGTATTTCAAAGATGGAATTCAAGCATTTTTTCTATTTGAATTATAATTTAATTCAAGCCTTGAATTAAAGTGTAATAATACTAGAATGTTCGACTTGAATTCAAGTTTCCTTTTCATTGGAGAATGCTATTGAATTAAAGTGTAATGCAAGTGTATTTCAACCCTTGAAAATTGAATGTTTGACTGGAATTAAATTTGATTTACACTTTAATTCCACCAAAAATGCTTATTTAGATGTATATAGATTGTAGTGTTCGACTTGAATACAAGTTTCCTTTTCACTGGAGAATGCTATTGAATTAAAGTGTAATGAAAGTGTATTTCAACACTTGAAATTTGGATGTTTGACTGGAATTAAACTTGCTTTAAACTTTAATTCCAGCAAGAATGCTTATTTGGTATAGTGTGCCCAATAAGCATTTTTGCTGGAATTAAAGTGTAAATCAAATTTAATTCCAGTCAAACATTCAATTTTCAAGGGTTGAAATACACTTGCATTACACTTTAATTCAATAGCATTCTCCAATGAAAAGGAAACTTGAATTCAAGTCGAACATTCTAGTATTATTACACTTTAATTCAAGGCCTGAATTAAATTATAATTCAAATAGAAAAAATGCTTGAATTCCATCTTTGAAATACAGCTTAATTCAAACCTTTGAAGTATAAGGTAATTCAAGTAAAAAAAAACAGTGCTATTCAAGCATTTTTAATGCCACTCTACTAAACTCCTAAATAAAATTAACTTGATTTTTTAATATTTAAATTATTTCATATATTTATGTAACACAAAATTATGTTAACAACAAAATATTACTAAAAAAAATATGTAAATTTAAATATTAAAATTTTTAGTAAATTTACTTAAAATAATGCAATGATATACATACATACATGTGTATATGTATGTAAACAAGCCTTTTAATTGTTTGCAAATATTAATTATAAGTAAAAATGTAAAGTAAAGTTTAGAAACATTTAGAATATATTACAACAAATTAAAATGATTTCTTTGTTTTTTGCCGTGTCGATTTTTTGCTTGCTGGAAAAACGTTATAACTACTTTTTCAAATTGTGATTCGCTGTGATCGGCAAATTTTTGGCGGTACGCAACTGAAATATTTGTAAATTTAGTCGAAAATCCCACATCCAAAATATCAAATTTAAATAAATAGGTACCTTTAACTGCTAACATAGTTGAAAAATTTTTTTATCTCGATTTATCTTTGGAACCTTGCCAACAAAACTGTTTAGTAACATCATCTTCTACTGATTCTGGTATACTAGTTTCTCAAAATTTTCTTCTGAATCTTGAATTTTTGCCTCAATCTTAATAAAATCTTCTTTTATTGCATATGAAGTTTTAGCTAAATTAATTTTCAATTCATTACTTCGTTGATGGTGTTGTTTTGAAAAAGCGTTTCATTTTGAGGTAGATTACTTACATTTTGATTAACTTGCTAATTTTGAATCGAGTCGTTGTCTTGCGAGCGTTGAGCAAAAATTAATAATTTTTTCTGCATTTAATTTATTTCTTCTTACTATGACACTTACTATAATTTTTGATTGAAACTTTAGACGGTGTATTTTTTAATCTATATTTTTTACTTTATTTTATTAATTGTTTTTTGCTTTCACGGTTTAAATCTTGGAAAATCACAAAATTAATAATTTTTTTTGACAATAAAAATAAAGTTTGAATAAAACTTTAAATATTTTTCAACATTTTTTTACTTGAAAAATATTTGAAAAATAAGCTGGAATTTAAGTTGAATTCCAATTAAAACACAAGCACTTGAATTTTAATTTTTTGAGTGCTTATTGGGTGACAACTGATCTAAAGTCAACATAAAGCCCACAATGGTTAGTACCAATATTTTGCCCATTTGTAATAAATTCCTGAATCGGGCATCGCTATGTTATCTGAAGCGAGACTGAAATTCTTTACCTTTCTTTACCTATGTGACACTTTTTCTCCTTTGGACTCCACATTTTGTTCATGGGTCTAGTATGATAGACAATACTAAAAACTATAATAAGGTCCTAGGTAATATAAAGCATTCATTCTAAAATGCAGTCATCTGATGCCAGACACTCATACTAACCGGACTCATGACGAGTATACAATAAAAACCTCATAATATCTGGAGTCTAAAAATTTGCAAATCTTCAAATTCGATTTGGGTGGGACAAATACAGCACAATTACATAATATTAAAACTTTTCAGAAGTTCGTAAAATTAATTTTTAAACACTCAAAATTACACCATTTATTTATTTTTAATATTTATTACAAATAAATCATTAAATATCATTTATTCAAGTTAATTATATGTATTTTTGTGTAAGTAGAAAATTAACACTTAAATTATACACACATATCTAAATGTCCTTTTATAAAACACATTAAAAGTTATAGGTCAAATTTTGGAACCTACAGCGCCTGTTTAAAATGTATTAAAACTACGTTGAATTTGTAAAACATCATCCATCATGAAATTACGTAAATGGCAAAGAGCCTTTACAACGTCATCCTGATTGGTGGGAGCATATTTGCCCAACCATTGAGAGGGTAAGAGATTTTTGGGTTTTGTTACATCCATAGGGGTAACGGTAGACAAAGCCTTCTTCCAGTTCTTGGCATTTTGTGAATGCTGTTGATGGGTGGTGCCTTGCAGCGAAGTTATATACTTGATATAGGCCTCGGAGTGTAAGACACGTTGAGGTCTTGGAGGAACTGTTATAAACATGGGTTCGGGTGGTGGTCCCAGTACTTGTGAATACTGCATTTGAGCATTATAATCCATACCGCGCGGTGAGTGAGCATTTGTTGAACCACCGCCAGCACCAGCGTTTACTAACATTTGTCCATTAACGCCCATCGTTGTATTCATTTGTTGCGATAGTATGTTAGTCATTTTGGGTTTACGTGCTACATAATTTTTACTACGTTCATGTGGTAAAATATGTTTGCCCGGCTTGGATAAGTGCACCTCACGTACGTGCTTGATGAGACGTACAAGCGAGGGAAAGGCTTGCATGTTCTTTCTCATGCGTATACAATTGCGCCAGAGACAACAGTATTCCGAATCTGTTTGTTGGGCCGTACGTTGTACATGGCCAGTATTTTCGGCCAAACAATGTTCCATACAATCAAGGGAGTCTTCAAATTGGTAATCGCATTTATCCCACAGACATTCGAACGTCAAATTCGGTGACTGTTGATCCATGTTGGGACCCGGACTGGCACAATTCAAGGTCTCATCCATTAGCTCACGTCTAGCGGCTGTTTCTTCGTTTATGCGACAGGCCCGATCTTCCCAACTCTGTTTGACACTGGCTGGTAAATTCTTCCATTCATTGCCCACCATGCGGGAAATATCTCCAAATGAAGCTTCCGGATTAGCGGTACAAATGCCTATAAAAATAAAACAAACAAAAAAATAAAAACTAATTCCCTAAATTTATTTCCTAAATACCAACCTTTTCGTACTTCGCTCGAGTAGAGTATATACCCCGTAAGACTTTTCTTGGCGATTTTACTCTTTTTAGACGAAAGCGGTGTAGAGGATACCGAAGGTGCTGGAGATGATATTGTTGCTATGTCCGAACTGACTGATGGTGGATTGCCATCCATAGAATCTTCCATTATGCCCAAACTTTCATTGAAATCATTCTTACATTCCTTACCCGGTTTAATAGGCATTTTAAAGTAAAAGATTTCATCTTGTGCCACCTCCGGAGAATGTTGAAATTTGCGCAATGAATTGGGGGTGGAGAATTTACGTAAAGATTTTTTCAATTCATCATAGCTGGCTTCACATATGTACACATCACCCTCGGGGAATTCGGTAGGCCGGGAAGTAATATAATCTTGATATTCCAAAACGGCACAGCGGCCTACTACTGCTATAACCGGGCTAATTTCTTCCACTGTCGAGAGTAAAAGTTCTTGACGATAGAAAGGTTTGCCCATGGGAGGCTGTGTGGGCAATGGAGGTGTAATTTCAGTTGGCGTCAGTAGCCAAGGTCCCCGGAAATAGGATTTATTGTTTTGTTCCCATATTTGATGGATTTGTGCTATAGACTGTTTGCCCGTTTGCGTTGCTACATAAACAAAATCACCCGTCTTAACGACACCACTGCAAATGGTGTTGTATTGTTGATAGTAAACGGCATTGGGTTCAGCATTTGCGGGAGGATCACAGGGTACATTAGGCTTCTCTTTTTCAATCAATGCCTCCTGTAGTTTAAGTTCCTCCAATTCTCCTTTATGCTTTTCAATGCGTTCCTTAAATACAGACATAACCCGTTTAATATCTAGAGGCTTTTCGCGAGCCACAAATTTTACTGGATCATTTTCACGTACAAATGGCCAGTTCTTAAACTTTTGAAAAGATCTGGGGCGTACATTGTAACGAGACTCGCACACGTATACATCTTTATCGTCGAAATTTTCCGGTCTATACTTAATGTAATCTTTAATGTGCATAATGTAACATTTGCCCAATACCTTTTCCATGGGTATGGTTTGTGACATACTGCTCTTGAACACCTCCTTTTCTAGGAATTTTCTGGTTTGTACATGATAAGTTTCATGTGGCCTGAGAAATACGGCACCATGCATCATTTTCATATTATCCTCGGTAGTCCAAAGCCTTTCGATATAGGCAATGCTGGGTATTTTATTTTCATTGTGTTGATAATAAACAAAATCTCCAGGTGAAAAGACTTTTTGATTGATTACCATGCTTTCACCCTGCATGGCAGCCTTGTCCATTTCTACTTTATCATCTTGATCTTGTTCGGGTTCCTCTTGTGTCAACTTTTGTTGTCGTATTAATTCTACTTCAGACGTTAGTTTATCCAGAGAATAGTTCAGAGCGGTAGAACTGAGAGTGTCTTGGCAAATTTCATCTCGCTTTTTGATAAAGTATGATTGTAATTCTATAGAATCTTGAAAGACATCAGAATCTGTGCGTGACAGCTTGCGTGCTCTTTCCAAACAAGCAAATACATCCTCTTGAAAGATATCCAAACGTTTGTAGACACCTTTGTCTAATCTACGTTTCACCAAATCCAAAGAAATTCCACGTACTTTTGTCTCTCCTGGTTGTTCATCATATTCCGGCAATTCCAGTAATGAATCTGAATAACATCTGCCCGCCTCATCTTGATGATTATAAACAGAAGTAAACAAAGTTAATAGCAGCTCCTGAACAGCTAAACCTACATCGGGCACTGTGTCACGATCATTTCTTAAACTCTGTTTTAATTGTAACGTCAATTGCTGCAAAACTAAAGCATCTTTATAGATCTGAGAATCGGGTTCATTGTATTTGCACGCATTTTCCAGCATCAATAGGAAATCCGCCGCCAATTCATCGATAGTTTCATAGAGACTTTGTTTTAGTTTATTAAGAATTCTCTCCATATCCATGGGTTCCTTAATAATATCATAGTAATCGGGATATTCAGTTTTTGACGGCAGTTTGGTGAAAATCAATGAAAGTTGTCTCTTGCCTTTGGGTTCTTGATAGTCGCGTATCGTTTCGTAAAATTGCCATAATTTATCACTCATGGGTACAGCATTTGCTCGACGTCTGCCGGGTTTGTTAAGTTTTTGTAGTGGTTTCTTGATTTCATTGAGACCAGGGAATTCCTTAAGTTTTTCATTTAGAGCTTTTTCTAAAATGTTGGCATCTTCATAGATATTGGAGCCTGAAAACAAAGATTATGAAATGTAAAAATTAGATCAGTGTTTAACGAATTTGTTCTAATAATCTAAAATAAGATTTTCACGAATATTTCGCAAAAATAGCAACTTACCTTCCTCATTATACTGACGACAGTTGGCAAACATTAGCCTATAGTCGGCCACCACATCTTCCACGTCACGATATTTGTCAGCTCTTATATTGTGTTCAATTGTATTCATATCAATGGGATTTTGTATGATGTCATAATAATCTGGATAAATTTTTCGTGGTGGTTTCTCCATAAATAAATCGATGGGTTTGCGAGTACCCAATGAGAAATCCAGCAGATATTTGTGCAAAGCTAATACCTTTTTCTTCATATACGGCGTAATAGTCATACGCTGCACCTTGGGTGCATTGAGGGATGAATTCAATGAAGTGTTCGGGGTAGTATTGAGTCTTGGACGACCCTTTTTCTTCTTTTCCGGTTGCGGTTCGGTGGATGCCACGAGTACTGTTTGCTCAGCATCCTCAAGTTCCTCCTCCTCATCATCGTCTTCATCTTCTTCCATTTCACTGGTTTCTTGATCTAGTGTGTCCTCTACCAGTTTGGTGTTCATAAGTTTTAGCATGCGTACAGCATCCTTGTGGGTTCTGTGTGTTGGTGGAAAGGCCTTTTTAGCATTGTCCAGCATGAGATATAGATCAGCAGTCAAGTCACTGATATTGGCATATTCTCCTTTATTAAGTTTGTTATGAATTTGACTCATTGAAATGGGTCGTTTGATAAGCTCAAAATATTCTGGATGAAATCTGCGCACTGGCAACTTCCATAATGAAGTACCCAAAGGAGGTCCCGTGGCACCGGGATGTTCTGAATGACCAGGAGCGTTATACAAATGATCAAATAAAGCCCACATGGGACCTTCACCTTTACGGCTTGTTTCCTCATCATCTGAAGAGTCGGCCTCTTCTTTAAGAGCCGCTATAGCTGCACTGGATACCGACTTGTGACGTCTTACCATCTTTGCTTTACCCGTTTCTAGTTCCAGACGTTTTTGTGTAAACAGTTTCTTCAAAGCCTTGGCATCTTTGTAGATTTGTGAACCCGGTTCATTAAACTGACAAGCATTCTTGGTCATTTGCAACAAGTCTCTTTCCATTTCTTGCAGATTGGAATAGGCATTTGTTTGTATCTTGGTGGCTATTAATCTTAAGTCAATAGGATGTTCTATGACATCGTAGTAATCCGGATAAACTTTTTTCGACGGCAACAATAAAAACATTCTATGCAATGGACGATCGTTCATGGTATTATCCACAGAAGTCATTACTGTACCAAACAATTCTTCATAAACATTTACTTCATCGTCTTTGACATCTTCCTCGGCATTGCAAGTTAATCTTCTTCTGCCTCTACCCTTCGACTTGGGCTCATCATCTGTCGACATTATGCCCATGGATTCAAGCAATTTTTGCTTATTCGTCACCACATATTGCCACAATGTGACCGCATCCTGATGTTCTGTGGTGTCGGGCTTATAAAATGCTTTCGCATTATTCACCAACAATTCAAAATCTTGTACCAATTCATCTAAATCATCGTACATGTCAGTTTTAAGTTTCTGTTGTATTTTCAATAGATCTATGGGATTATTAACCACATCGTAATATGAAGGCTCTTGCCGGCGCTTGGGAGCTCTAATGAAAGTATCGCACAACATGGTGCCATCTTCTTTTTTCAGATTTCTTATAGAGTCATACAGACTCTGGCACATTTCTGTGGGATCTAATCTACGTTTCTTGCGTGCCGACATGGCTACCGTTGAAGTTGCTCCCGCTCCAGACGTCATCAATACCGGCGATTGTTCTGGCGTAGAGTCATCCATTTGTTGGGGATCGTCATCGTGTTTACTGCTTATCGAACTGGCTCTACGTTTACGGCTTAACATAATCAAAAGGAACAAACTAAAAAAAATAAATTAATTAAAGTTGTTCTTAAAATTTTCACAAATTCTTCACACAAAATTTTCACAGACGCTATTAAAAAATGAAGAAAAGCCAACATGAAATGCTGACTCTAAATATTTGACGGCGTTTTAAAATCAGCTATAAGCCGGCTAAGTTTTCTGTTGTAGTTTTTTATTTTTAAGCGATACGGCCACACATCAAATTTGTTTGATTCAAACGGTAAGTTTTTTGATTGTGTTAGTGAAAAAACTCACATGTATATATGCGGTGTGAGTTTTATTACTAACACAATCAAAAAACACCGTTTGAGTCAAACAATTTGATGTGTTTTTAATATCGACTAATCGACTTTTTTTACAAAACCCACATATTAACAAAATACTCAGCTTTGAGTCTTTCAGAAAAACGTCGATTTTGCGATTATTCTAAAAACCGTGAATTTCCCAGATTTGCGGCTATAAATAGTTTACTTGAATAAACAAAAATCAAAATAGACAAAACATAAGATTTACCCACCTAATAATTTTTTCACTTTTTTTATTATCTGGCAACTTTATTCCTTACTTCACAATAATGTTATATTATACAACTATCTCTTTCACTCTTTAGCACTTTAAATCTTTTCTTCACTCTGGTACTGTATAAATATAAATCACTATAGAATACAAATGTCATTTATTAAAAAAGACACAAATTCAACGGGAGCAACAAATTTTTCGTACGGAGTAAAAATTGATAAAATAGTGTTTTAAAATTAAACAAAATTAAAATATTTCGGCTAAACTAACTAAAATTGAATTGTTTAATATTGAATTACGTAAAATAAAGTGTTTGTATAGCTAATAAATAGCAAAATAAATTGCTGAAGAAAAAAATGTGTACAATACCATCTACAACGAATATGAAAAAATAAGAAAACACACAAAAAATTAAAGAAATGTAGAAAAAGTGTACAACAATAAAAACGACAACAACAACATAATAAGCGCCAGAGGAGCGCCAGTATTCTTCAAAAGTAATCCAAAAAAGTTTATACATAATAATATGCCTCTTCCAAATCTCCAACACAATGTGGACAAGAAATAATAGAAATTCGTGTTACGGAAGTGTTATTTTAACAACAGAATCAAAATAAATGTTAAAATCAAAATAACTACCTATAAAGTGCTTAAATTGTAGACCAAAATATCTTTAGATATTTGCTAAAAATACTATTTTATTTATAGTGGGTTTATTGTTTATAATCTGCTTATACACATATTAACGTCATCATCATTTGAATTGTTGTTACTGTTAAAATAGTACCACAATGTTGCAATTATCTTGGAAACCTTTAATACCCTTTGGTAAGTATATTTTTAAGATTTTTTGTTATTCTTTTTCATTATTTTGTAATTTGCGCTTCAATTCAATTATCACAATTTGTTTTTGTTGTTTTAATTGTAACTTTTTAGTGCCTTTGAATGTGTGTGAGAGTCATTGATATTTTTGTTTTTCTTTTTTTCTATTTTGTTTTGATTTTTGTAACGAAAAAAAAAAACAATATCTAATAAAGAAAAAAATTAATATATATTTGCAATTTGTTAATTTGTAAAACATCATGATTATTAAAAAAAATTAGTTCAATTAAATGTTATCAGTGGATTTATGTGTTAAGACGCCCCATTTTGAAGTGTACCTACATTGTAGGTTCATATAAAATTCCAATTGGAACAATGAACTTTTTAAAAAGTTTTTAGCAAATAAGACAAAAATCCTATTAATATTATTTACATAAGACGACTTTAGTATAAACCTATAGTTCTTTGTTTTTCTAAAATAAAATTGAGAATAATAAAATGATTTGGTAAATCGGTTACGCAGTGAAACAAAATAAATTAAAAACAAATACCTACCTACCTGATGGGTATTAACGAGTACAACAAGAATCTATTTTTGAAATTTGCCAAGCGGCTCCAAAATCTTGAGATACGTTTAAAACGCTTTTATTTAACTTTAAGCGCTTATAAATCTAAGACTTAAGTGTTGTTTGACAAATTTGAAAAATCTATTGTTAAACTCGGCAGTACCTTTCAGAAAAATGGTATCACTTCCCAGGTATTTATGTTTGTCGCCTGGAGAATCTGTTGTAATTATTCAATATACTATTGCATTGAGATTCAAGCCTAAATATTAAGCAACTTCTCAGGATATAATACATACATACATACATACATACATACATACATACATACATACATACATACATACATACATACATACATACATACATACATACATACATACATACATACATACATACATACATACATACATACATACATACATACATACATACATACATACATACATACATACATACATACATACATACATACATACATACATACATACATACATACATACATACATACATACATACATACATACATACATACATACATACATACATACATACATACATACATATGTATAAATTCATTAGGTAAAGTAAAGTACGCTTGGCTGGGTAGTTGAATATGGGAGGTTCCCAGACTTCAAACTGGACATTCAGAATGGCTTGTTCTATTCGGGCAGTATGTGCAAAGTCTGTTGCACCATCACGATGAGTAAAGTGAGGTACGCTTGGCTGGGTAGTTGAATAAGTGGGGTGCATTCGAAGAGACTTTGACATATGTAAGTATTTACCTCGGAGGAGCTAGGAGCTGCTCTTAAAATTGGAATAACTCATTTGGTGATGTTTAGGAAGAAATGTTTTGTTAATATAAATTTATTATTTTAAATACATAATTTCTAAGGAATTTACATATCTAAACAAACAAGAATTTAAAATTGCTGCGTATGTTAGGTTAGGGTATACATTCTCCATATGCTAGATCAGATCCGCAGAAATATACCTAGACCGCTATCGTTCCTTTAATGGAAAATGTTGATGAAGTGCTCTATGAAGTTAAATAGTCCGATATTCCTCAACGTAGTTTCCAACCAATGTTCCTAAGGAATGTAATATCTGTAATAACATCGCTGCTGAAAAGATATTTGGGCCTTAGCCTCCGGTAGGTTAGTACATAGTAAGTGTGCTAGTCTGGTAAACCGGAGGTGGTGTGTTCGATTACTACCTGAGGCACTGGTTAGGGAGCGCTCAACAGGCCCTATAGAGGTCTAGGTGTATTTCTTCGGATTTTATGTATATATGTACATCCTCCTTTCAAACTAACTTACTATTTTGTTAAAAGTCTGTCAACAACTACGAGTTTTACTGCATTATATTATTTCCGCATGAATTATGTTATTCTAAATCTGTTCATCTAATTTTGTTATGCCCATGTTATTAACACAACCTTGTGTTCCTCAGTTTTGTATTCCTCTTTTGTTTCCGATTATTTTCTAATAGCGTGGTACCTATTTGATGCAAAGTATACTTTGAAAGACTATTCAGTTAGGGCGCTCTTACAGCCCAATTAGGTCTTAGAATTAACCTTATAATCTTAAAAAGTATTAACCTTTGTTGGTGCCATACACATATCGTTATTGCTCGGAACTCTACCTGTAAGCTAATGTTGTGATTAATAGTATATTTCGATTTCTGAGTGTTCAATGTAGATCACCAGTACCATTTTGTTCTCTCATTTTAGAGCTATTCGTAGGGCAACGGATTCTTATGGGTATTTGTTCAAATGATATTCTGTATATTTTATCTGTTATCAAGACCTCAAACTTACCTATAAATTTTGTTTTTGTTATGCTGTCTGGCAGACTGGCGACATGCGCCAAAAGGTGTTTAGGCAACTCTGGTGGATTGGCCTAAACATAAGAGACGTTTTATATATGTACGTACATATATCTGTGTTGTAATTAGCCAAATGTTAATCTTTCCACTATAGTGAAATTATCTTCGCTACATAGTACAGCATAACATTTTCATACATGAAACGATTCTTCTTTATTTACTTAATATTTAGTTAGTTAGTTAGTTAGTTAGTTAGTTAGTTAGTTAGTTAGTTTGTTAGTTAGTTAGTTAGTTAGTTAGTTAGCTAGTTAGTTAGTTAGTTAGTTAGTTAGTTAGTTAGTTAGTTAGTTAGTTAGTTAGTTAGTTAGTTGGTTAGTTAGTTAGTTAGTTAGTTAGTTAGTTAGTTAGTTAGTTAGTTAGTTAGTTAGTTAGTTAGTTAGTTAGTTAGTTAGTTAGTTAGTTAGTTAGTTAGTTAGTTAGTTAGTTAGTTAGTTAGTTAGTTAGTATAGTTAGTTAGTTAGTTAGTAGTTAGTTAGTTAGTTAGTTAGTTAGTTAGTTAGTTAGTTAGTTAGTTAGTTAGTTAGTTAGTTAGTTAGTTAGTTAGTTAGTTAGTTAGTTAGTTAGTTAGTTAGTTAGTTAGTTAGTTAGTTAGTTAGTTAGTTAGTTAGTTAGTTAGTTAGTTAGTTAGTTAGTTAGTTAGTTAGTTAGTTAGTTAGTTAGTTAGTTAGTTAGTTAGTTAGTTAGTTAGTTAGTTAGTTAGTTAGTTAGTTAGTTAGTTAGTTAGTTAGTTAGTTAGTTAGTTAGTTAGTTAGTTAGTTAGTTAGTTAGTTAGTTAGTTAGTTAGTTAGTTAGTTAGTTAGTTAGTTAGTTAGTTAGTTAGTTAGTTAGTTAGTTAGTTAGTTAGTTAGTTAGTTAGTTAGTTAGTTAGTTAGTTAGTTAGTTAGTTAGTTAGTTAGTTAGTTAGTTAGTTAGTTAGTTAGTTAGTTAGTTAGTTAGTTAGTTAGTTAGTTAGTTAGTTAGTTAGTTAGTTAGTTAGTTAGTTAGTTAGTTAGTTAGTTAGTTAGTTAGTTAGTTAGTTAGTTAGTTAGTTAGTTAGTTAGTTAGTTAGTTAGTAGTTAGTTAGTTAGTTAGTTAGTTAGTTAGTTAGTTAGTTAGTTAGTTAGTTAGTTAGTTAGTTAGTTAGTTAGTTAGTTAGTTAGTTAGTAGTTAGTTAGTTAGTTAGTTAGTTAGTTAGTTAGTTAGTTAGTTAGTTAGTTAAAAAGTGCGGATTGTTTGATATTAATAGACATTCCAGTTTTCATAACTTTGTATGTCGTTTGTCATGAGCACTCCATTTCAAAGGCTTTTTCCCTTACCAGCAGCGAAACTCAATTACTTGCAGATATAACCATAATAAATGAAGAAATAAAAAATAAAATAAAAAATTATATATAATTATTGTTTAAATAATATCATATTTATCTTATAGCATTATTCATACAACATTTAAAACAAACTGTATCCATAACAATATTAAATAAATAGAAAAATATTTGTTTATTAATTATTTATATTTATAAAAAAAAACATCAGCAATAACTTAAAGAATTCCAGAAATAGAAATTTGGTAAAATCGTTAAAATAATGGTAAATTTTTTTTTACAATTGAGTAAAAAAAATGTTGCCTCATGTATTCTCTAGGATATCTTGTTCCAGAAGTAACAATTTCAGATAGTTGTAAATGGATGTTACCCGAAATTATTTTACTTTAATGGTCGAATCAGACTAATCTGCTTACTAATGGGCATAAATAAGCCAATAAAAAGTACATTGTTTGAAAACCATTCAAGGAACTTGTTAACTTGAGTTTTAGCACCACCTCATACTTTATTTAGAGAAATTTTTTCTACTGATAATTTGTTTGCTGGTGGCACAGATCTAAATTCTTTAAATGACAAGCAAGATCTTTCATATATTTTCATATTCATATTCCAAAAAGAAAACTTTTAGTAAAAGTTCGACTGTAGTTGATAGTTCTTTCCTAAGGATATGCTACTAATACTACTGTTTCCGATTAGGAGCAAAACCTACATTCGTGGTTACTTTGACTAGTTTTATGTAAAATTGATCATTATTATGCATCTTATGTTTGCGCTCTTAGCAATAAAACTCAAACTCTTCATTAAAACACAATTTCCTTTAAACCTATTAAATCTCTTAAATAGATCCCCTTAAATCTTTAATTGTATCTGTTTTCCAATTATATAATCTACGTTTTGTTTACAAAATATTTTCTATTTTTGTATTTCTACTACGCAACACTTTAATCCGAGTTAAAACAACTAAAGAACTTTAATTTAAAAATTTATTCTTTACACAAATAGTAAAGAACGCCATAACCTACCCCAACTTAAATTTGATTAATGTGCCATATTTAACTTAAAACCCACATCAACTTTTCTACAACATATCTTCCACCCCCCTAAACACTATTTTCATCCATATTCCGTTGATGGCTTTGTAGAGGTTTGGGTTTATTTATGTATTTATGTGTGGTATGAAAAATAAAAGTAAATACAAAAACACAACAACGCAAATAAATAAATAAGAAAAAAAAACATAAAACCATTGAGCATGTCCTTACTCAACTGTAAATATAGAAAAATATAAAAACAACAACAACAGCAAGGAGCATATACACAAATGAACAGAAAATAATCAGGCATCTTCTCATGGCTTTGATACTCAATTTACACCGACAACATACAAGGATGAAATAGAGTTTAAATAGTAAACAACTAACAAATACGCCATACTACACATCATCCATATACTAGTTAAATAATATGTATAACCATCCATATCCATAGTATATAACCCGCCAATGTATATCCTTGTACTGTAGATGATAGTAAAAAAAAAACATAAAAAAGGAAAAATAAATCCCTTCGCAGAAAAAAAAAAGAAAACAGAAAATATATTTGATATGAGAACAAAGAAAACTACAAACAGAAATTTATTTTCACTGCACTCCCTGCCACCGCTACCACCATCACCAATGCAAGCCATTCACTCTTCTACTTGATATACTATAATATGTACATTATAGTTTATACCAAATACTTACTTTTATACTGTGGGTGTCAAAAGACAGTAAACACCTTACAATTATTTAGTTGTAAACTACTAAAGAAACTAGATAGATAGATTTTTAACTTAAGCTTCAGATCGTTTAACTATGAACTGTCGTGTAGGTTCCAATGTCTTTTGGGACAAATTTGGCATAAAGATTTCGCATCATTGGCTATAGGTTTTAGGTTTGACAGGTGGCCGCATCGAACATCCGAATTACAGCCTTAATTTGATCTAGTGGAAGAACAGGGATAGCAGAAAGTGTGACAGTGAGAAGAAAGAGATAAAGGAAATGTGAAGAAAACCCTAGAGCATAAAGACTTAAGGTGAAAGCTTACGTCCTGCTTAGTGTGAAACTATCAGAAATGCAGATAGTCGTTCTAATTGTACATTTAACAGATCTGACAGATCATTAACATAAGACTCTAAGGTACGAATACGGGCCGTCACTAAAGCTGGAAAATGACAGAGAAGATAGACTACCGTCTCCTCTCCATCCTCATTCTGACAATTTCTATATAAATCGTTATACAATAAACCAATGCGCCTAACGTGGTTTCCAAAATTTTTAGTTATAACCGATACCATATTACCTAATTGGGGTCTTGGAAGACTAAGAAGATAGGCGGTTCTATGTGGATCCATGTTGAGTCACATCGTTCTAGCTATCGTTTGTTTGTAATGAACTTAATCAACTAATAATCGCAAATATTTAACCAAATTTGAGCCTACCAAAGTGTTCTTTCAGAAAATCTTTTTAACTTTCATAATTGCTTTAAAATTTTTAGTATAACGATGAAATTCGTCAAATTTTACATAATCCTTCTTAAAAATCAGTTTATTATCAATACATTAGGGTGTGTTATAACCAAAATTAGGCCCTATCACAACATGGTAGCCAGTAGTGTTCTAATAACGAAAACCAGTTTCACGAGTCATTTTGGAGCAAAAATATTCCATCAGCAAATCGATTTTCTAAAACCATTCGCCAACAAATTTACATGTATTTTTAATGGTATAATCTAAATGTTTAGGTACTAACATCGGTAGAGGGATTAACCGCAAGATCTGTCCTTTATTTAGAGTAATCATCAAAAACTTTTGAGCACGTGCCGCGGAAACTTTTTTAATGCTCGGGATAAAGTTAAAGTATATCGCTTGTATTTATAAAAAAATCTTATTTTGCTTTTAATGTACTCAATAGTTAAAGCACACTTTAGCCTTAAAAACCATTAATAAAATTGTGATATTCATAAACAAATAATAAACGTATATTAACTATTGTGCTGATTTATGTTTAAGTTGGCAGCACTGTACAATATGGCTGTCATTTTATGTGTTAGTGTTGCGTACAATTAGGATAAAATAATCGTTGATTCGGTTTTCTTAATTTCATATTTTTGTTTATAATAGATTTTTGACAATAAAAACAAACTTTTAAGAAAAATAAATATATATATGGCTTTAATAAATGTCTATTTAGTTCAGATGTATAAATATAACATATAATTTCTAATTATTATTAAAAGTATCCGAATAACGGATATTTTGCGACAAAATATACATCGCTATGACACATTTTCTTATTTTTACTTATTTTCCTTGTAATTTTTGATAAATTTTTGCAAATATTGATAAATTTCTTTGATATTTGACTAATTTTAATGCCGGCGAATATATTTTGCATTAGTATAACACTAAGCATTATATTTAACCAACAAACTTTGAAAAAGCCAAATCAAATGATTTTGTCCATCATTTGGTTGACAGACGGGCATTTCCAAATTGCCTAAAAATAGTGCTGGACAATTGGAATATTGTCAAATATTCATGCATTAATCCAATAATGCCTAGATTTGAGTTTTTTCCTCAAAATATAATCGTTAAAAAATTTTCTGAAATTTTATTTACAAATTTGTAAACGTTAAAATTAGAATTTTTAGATTTTGTTTTAAAAGAAACCATAATTACTTTTCGCAATCAATCTAAAATTACCGGAAAAATCTTTATCTGAGAAAAAAATTGTTAAAAATCAAGTTATTGTTGGCTTAAAGAAGGGTCGAGCCTACAATAAAATTCTTATAATTGTCAATGGTTTATTGAAGGTGTTTTAAGCTATTTCACGTTTATAAATACGATTTTCCTTAATTTTGCCTAAAATTGTTTAATAAACCTAAAATAAGTTTTTATAAATACAGCCGTATATCTTTAATCAATGTTCTTTTTTTATACTCTATGTGGAATGGACAGTGCCGATTTAAAATGTTCAAATATTGTATGGAAGTTATAACCCTGATGTAAATATATCTCTTTCAAATTCTGTATAATTGACAAAGGTATGATAATATAATTTGTTGTTAATAATAACTGATAAATCGTTAAACTTTAATAATAAATGACGAAAGGATCGATCCATAACGGCCTAAATCCATTCATAGGATCACTTTTCGAAATTCACTTTAAATTTAGAACATAAGTGTTGATAACTTTTTGAAGACTTTGTCTGTGGTGTCATATTTTCTGACTGTACAGTAACATGTGAATATCTGGGAAAGTGATTACTATACTTTATGCCCAAAAGGTGTGAACTTATGGGGTCATTGCCTTTTCCAAAATCCCGTTTTTCGGAGAAAACATTGATTAGTTCTCATATTCATAAAGAAAACAATTCATTGATGTTTACTAACTTATGATGCTCAGTATATACTACTGTTGTTAATGTTGTATATATTCTTGGTTATATTTTTATATAAAAAATAAAATCGTAACTAATAGTAAAAATTTAAGAAAAAAATGTATTTAACATTACAAACCCCGAGGGGTATTCAGTTCAAATTTTGCAGTAAATATAACTTTTTTATTTTGAAATTTGTATTTTCAGCTAAATTATTACTACAGTACATAGCCGAGATAATAAATAATGATGGCGAAATATTGACTACATAACTAACATGTTTTTCGAACATGAATTATAAATGACAAAGATCTTTAGTACATACATATGTATGTATGTAGAAATTGATTGACTTGTCTATGGCTTATAGAATAAACATATTAGTTATGTGGTGTCAGGATTTAATCATTAATGTTTTGTTATTAAGGTGTGAAAATAGTATATGTTTGTTGTTAGATAGACAGATTTATTAATATATTATAATATTTTAAATTAATTATTAAATGTTTTATTGATATTTTCTTATTTTTTTAGGTGTTTCCTTACTACTGAGTTTTTGTTTTTGTCTTTCCGAATCAGCAATTTTACCGCCCGATCATAATGTTGATTGTGAACATTACGATGAGAAAGAGTGTATGACGCGTGGTGATTGTGCCACAAAAATTGAACATTGTAAATTTGATTCAGACAAACCGCCAAGTTGTTATGTTTTATGGTCACGTGATGAAATAACGGGTAAGTTTATGCACTTAATGGAGAGTATTAAATTTTTGTAGAAATTTTACTTCGATTTGACATCAAAAGAAAATGGAATTATTACCTAGTAAATCAATTTATTAAAATCAATAAACCTAAACAGATATCAATCCCATATTGAAAATTTGACAAGGTTTCATTATTGATTGTTGTCGTTTTTCTTTTTTAAAGAAGAAAAATTGAAAAAATAATCCCACTTTCTATTTACAATCTAAACACTATAGTTTCTTTATCCTAAGGACTGTATATTACAGTCTCAAGTATGCATTATATAGTATCTTTAGACAACCGAATATAGGCTCTATAAAGACGAAATATAGTCTATATTGTCTATATAGTTTAAGCTATATGGTCTCTGTAAATCTAAGTCTACTTAGTCTCTTTAGTTTTCAGACTGTAGTCTCTATATTTTGCAGACTATAATATCTTTAGTCTACGTCTATAGTTTCTACAGCCTACAAAATCTATAGGTAATAGTCTATATCCTCACCTGAAACGCAAACGGCCCTAACTAACCAAAAATCTAAAATCGATTTTATTGGTGATTATAATGTCCACACCAAAAATTGGACTCCTCCGACCATAATTATCGATTTTATTGACAGGAAACAAAAGGCCCTATCTACAAAAACATTTAAATATTAAAGGTAAAAAGTCAAATTTATCCATTTTTATATACGCCATTGTCAATTATCATAATAAATGTTAGGTTTCACTATTAAACAATTTGTTTATTCACTACAAATAAATCGCACTGATAGAAACAAACTGTAAAATTTTAAAAATGTAAGATAGGGCCGTTTGCGTTTTAGGTGGCGATATGAAGACCATAGGCAATAGGCTATATATTATAGTCTTCATATAGTTTACGGCCTATGGTTTCTGTAGTTCATAGACTATAGTCTATATAATCTACAGACTCTAATCTGCTTAGTACATATAATAGTCTCTAAAGTCTATAGACAATAGTATCTATAGACTATAGTCGTTATATTCTACATACTATAGTCTTGATATTTCTCAGACTATAGTCTCTTTAGTCTACAATCTATAGTCTTCAAAATCTACATACCATAGTCTCAATAGTATACAGACTATAGTCAAAGTCTACATAGCTTACGGCTTAGGGTCTCCATAGTCCACATAATATAGTCTACTTAGTCTACAGTTTATAGTATTTGTAGTCTACAGACTATAGTCTAGACTATGGTATACAGACTATAGAGTTTCTCTACTCCAAGGGCTTTAGAGTCTGAAGTCTACAGACTATAAAGGCTATATTCTGAATTATGTTGCGTAGGCAACTGAAATTAACTAGGATAATTATATAAACGTTCCCACGACAATTGGATCTCCGCTCCGGAACCACCCGATTCTCAATCGGCCAAAGATTTTTAATTCAGCAACAGCTGTATCAACTGGAAAAAAAGTATAAATAGTAGACAATATCTTTTTACCAAATTGGCCTTATAGGTTATGTTAATGTTAAGTTGTTTTATATAGTACACACCTAAAAGAAGTAAATCATTTAAATTACTAACCACCATTATCTCAACGTCTGGTTATTTTAATCCTCAGTTTTCATACAAAAATTATTTTAACAGGTGGAATGTCTACCGGTTATATAACCGGAGGTTGAGATAACGGTCCTATATTTTATAAATTTTTTTTTTTTTTTTTCTCAAAGTTACTAACAAAATTAAAATGGATGAATACAAATTAAGCAATTTTATATACCTAAATAGTTCATAAACTAAGCAAAATATTTAAAGGGTTAAATAAAGTAAATTCTAATATTAACTCATTGTGTAACAAAAAATAAAAAAATGCATAAAGTTTTAATATTTAAATACAAACAAAAAAAACCTTATAATTTATTAATATACAATATTGTAAAAAATATTAATTTTTTTGCAGGAGAAGACCATATCAAAATGAAGGGTTGCTTCTCTCAAACTCCTGAATGTAATCAAACAGAATGTGTTACGAGTTCGGAGCCTCGTAAGAATAATATGAATTTATTGCATTTTTGTTGTTGCAAACAATCAATGTGTAACACTGCACAAAAATGGGAACCAACTACGACAGAAGCAACAACACAAGGTAAATTTCATTTCATTTTATTATTATTATTATTTTGTATTTAAAAATAAATATTCAACTCCTTTATATCATGATGATGTTGTTGTTCCCCTTTTTTACTACAAATATAAGTGATGGGTTTCTCTGTTGATTTCAATATAACAATCATCATCACCAGCATTTAATACGGGCAACATAATACAACAACTCTAGAACTACACATCCAATCACACATACATACATATAATGTTATACATGTGAGTTTATGTATAGAGGAGGTTAGATAGAAGAGGGATCCTGGTTTGCTATTCTCAATTGCTCCTGCTACTGCTGCTATAGCTGTTGTTATTTTGTTTTTCAAATTTATTGCAAGGCACGTGTGTACAATATGGATGTACATTGCTAGATATTGCTGGTGATGGTGCTGCTACTGTTGTTGATGATGATGTTGTTAGTGTTGATGGAGGATGCCACAATGTTATGTTTACCCCAATTTTATACTAGCAATATTTTGTTTTTTTATTTTCTATGGGCTTTTCTTTTTGTTGTTATTTTTTTTCTTTCTTGTATTATACAATGTTTTTGTTCCTTCATTCTTTCGTTTGCAACATAAAAAAGCGTGGGTTCGGTTTAGTTTTGTTTATATCGCCCAATTGCCCCGTTTTCATCATATTCATCACATATACAAATCAAAATATTTAAAGTACCCTACATGTTTTTATTAGTTGAATTTTATTTAAAATTTGTAAGTATGTGGTAGCGAAGATCACTTACTTATAGCTTACTAGACGAAAGAATAGACTATAGACAAGACTATAGACAATATTATAGACTAGATTAAAGATTAGACGAAAGACTAGGGTATATATAGTAGACTTCAGACTAGACTGTAGGCTCGACTAAAGACTAGACTATAGACTAGACTGTAGACTAGACTGTAGACTAGACTGTAGACTAGACTGTAGACTGGACTGTAGACTAGACTGTAGACTAGACTGTATACTAGACTATAGACTAGACTATATACTAGACTATAGACTAGGCTATAGACTAGACTATAGACTAGACTATAGACTAGGCTATAGACTAGACTATAGACTATACTATAGATTAGACTATAGACTAGACTATAGACTAGACTATAGACTAGAGTGTTTCCATTTAATTACATACGCATACATACATATATATATATATATATATATATATATATATATATATATATATATATATACATATATATATATATATATATATATATATATATATATATATATATATATATATGGAAACAGTGTAGTCTATAGTCTAATCTATAAAAGATCCAATTTCCTAAACGGATGGACCTGCTGATTACTCTTTGCAAAACACATGCTTTGTACTTACATTTATTTATACATACATACAAAATTTAACACCAGAATGCAAAACATTTGTCGATTTCCTTGATAGTATGAGTGTTGCAAATCGCTGATCTTAACAGTATATAGATCGATTCCTAAAATAAAAATTTTGTTATGAATAAACTTTCATTCTCCAGTAAACACTTTTAAACATTAAAGGTTAAAATGTTTTACGAAAATATCAGTTACAAGCGCTTTAAAAGATTAATATTTATTTAGAATTAAATCATACCGATTAACTGTACTGTTACTTAAGTGCCATTCTTAACCGATTTAAAAATACTTTTTCAGTTTGTTTTCTTTTTTATTTTTACTGATGTTGTTGTTGTTGAAGTTAATGAACTCGGTAAAATGAAAAAAATAAAGCTTTTGGAGCAGTGGCAGCAGAAGAATCATTGCAGTTGCAGCAACATTTCTTATGCTGCCATATGTTGCAAATCATGTTTATTGGTTGTGTATCATGAATTCGTGTTTGTTTGTATTTGCCACTTAAAAAAAGGAACTAACTCACTTAAATTCACATACATACAAACATATACAATCAAAGCAACACACATATACCCCAACACACACAGATATGTATATTTACTTATCCTTGTGATGCTTTAAAAAAAAAAAAAACATAAAAAAGTAAAGCAAAATCCTTTAGATTTCACTGTTGCTACAGTTGTTCTTGTTGTTGTAGTAGGCAGCTTTTTGCCTCATAAAAATTTTCCGTTTTTAGTCACGTTTTTCTTGTTGATTCACTTGTTATTTTTTTTTCTTCTATGTTGTTTTTTATAATTTTTATTTTTTGCATTCTCTTAATAAATTGGGGGAACTTTCATTTTTCTTTTTGTATAGAGTAGAATTATGATTTTTTTTAGCATTTTTCGTTGCATACTATACAAGTATAAGTATGTGTGTATGTAAATTTGTAAATTTTGCATACGAGATGAGGCTGATGATGATGATGATGACGAAGTGATGTGTGTTTTTTGTTAGAATCTTCTTGTATCGCAGTTAGTAGAGGAGCTGCGAGTACAATATTTCATACATATTCTTTCCCCATTTTTGAACAGCTCTCTTATGACTAGTATGTTTTTTTGGGGGGCTTAAGTTTTTGTATTTGGCCACTTGTAATGTTATTCACCTGTAGGCCGTATTTCTTTTTTAGGTTGTTTTAGTTTCTTCTTGATATTATTTTTGTTTTCATTTCGTTTCTTATTATTTTTTCTCATTTTTTTGGAGGGTAATCTTTTATTCCTTAGAAATATGCACGAATGAAAAGAAATAAGAAAAAACAACAGCAACAACGTTGTGTTTACCTTGTAATTATTTTCAAATGTTGTAAAATTTTTTAAGAAAATGAAAGGGGCTGTTTTCCTTTTTTTTATTTTGCGAATAGCGAATAAAGGGGGAAGTATGTATATACATATTTTACATACTGTTTATACAACTGATGGATGAGTCTTAATAGTTCAATAAACTGTCATATGAAGATGAAATATGTTTGAAATTGCTTACAAGTGTTTATATGTATAACACAAAGGTAATAAAATAAATATGTTCCAATTCTCTAAGGACATTACTGTAAATCTAAAAGGGTCTCAGAAAAAATTATAGTTTAGTAATTTAGCTATCTAAATAAAATTAAAATCTTAGAAATGTTGTTAGGATTCTAATGAAAATTACAAAATTTTTATGTTTATCAATATTAAATTAGGTCATAGGTCAAACTAATCTAACAAAATTTAATTCTATTTATTGCAAATTCTGAACAAATTTTTGAATAAAGATTTCTATAAGAAATCGATAAAAGTTCAAATAAAGTTTTGTAAAAGAAACCCGAATTCGGTGTTTGAATTAAGATTTCTACAACACAATCTAATTAGGTGTTAAAATCGAAGTTCGATTTTAATTTTCTATAAAAAAGAACAAATTCAAATATAGTTTTCTGCAAGAAATACAAATTTGAAGTATGAACTATTTTTCTTTACGAAATTTCAATTCGATGTTTGAATAAAGTTTTCTCCAGAAATCTGAATTCGAAGTACAAATTAAATTTTTTATACAAAAACCAAATTTGAAGTTCTAATTAAGTTCTGTGAATGATAACTCAATTTAAAGTTCGAATTATATTTTCCATCAGGAAACTAAATTCCAAGTTCAATTCTTGTTCAGTTCTAGTTCAGTTCTAGTTCAGTTCTAGTTCAGTTCTAGTTCTAGTTCAGTTCTAGTTCAGTTCTAGTTCAGTTCTAGTTCAGTTCTAGTTCAGTTCAGTTCTAGTTCAGTTCTAGTTCAGTTCTAGTTCAGTTCTAGTTCAGTTCTAGTTCAGTTCTAGTTCAGTTCTAGTTCAGTTAGTTCAGTTCTAGTTCAGTTTCTAGTTCAGTTCTAGTTCAGTTCTAGTTCAGTTCTAGTTCAGTTCTAGTTCAGTTCTAGTTCAGTTCTAGTTCAGTTCTAGTTCAGTTCTAGTTCAGTTCTAGTTCAGTTCTAGTTCAGTTCTAGTTCAGTTCTAGTTCAGTTCTAGTTCAGTTCTAGTTCAGTTCTAGTTCAGTTCTAGTTCAGTTCTAGTTCAGTTCTAGTTCAGTTCTAGTTCAGTTCTAGTTCAGTTCTAGTTCAGTCTAGTTCAGTAGTTCAGTTCTAGTTCAGTTCTAGTTCAGTTCTAGTTCAGTTCTAGTTCAGTTCTCCGTTCAGTTTCTTAGTTCAGTTCTAGTTCAGTTCTAGTTCAGTTCTAGTTTCAGTTCTAGTTCCAGTTCTTAGTTCAGTTCTAGTTCCAGTTCTTCTAGTTTTTCAGTTTCTTAGTTCAGGTTCTAGTTCAGTTCTAGTTCAGTTCTACGTTCAGTTCTAGTTCAGTTCTAGTGTCAGTTCTAGTTCCGTTCTAGTTCAGGTTCTAGTTCAGTTCTAGTTTCAGTTCTAGTTCCGTTCTAGTCAGTTCTAGTTCAGTTCAGTTCAGTTCTCGTCAGTTCTCGTTCAGTTCTAGTTCAGTTCTAGTTCAGGTTCTAGTTCAGGTTCAGTTCAGTTTCTAGTTCAGTTCTAGTTCAGTTCTAGTTCAGTTCTAGTTCAGTTCTAGTTCAGTTCTAGTTCAGTTCTAGTTCAGTTCTAGTTCAGTTCTAGTTCAGTTCTAGTTCAGTTCTAGTTCAGTTCTAGTTCAGTTCTAGTTCAGTTCTAGTTCAGTTCTATTCAGTTCTAGTTCAGTTCTAGTTCAGTTCTAGTTAGTTAGTTCAGTTCTAGTTCAGTTTTAGTTCAGTTCTAGTTCAGTTCTAGTTCAGTTCTAGTTCAGTTCTAGTTCAGTTCTAGTTCAGTTCTAGTTCAGTTCTAGTTCAGTTCTAGTTCAGTTCTAGTTCAGTTCTAGTTCAGTTCTAGTTCAGTTCTAGTTCAGTTCTAGTTCAGTTCTAGTTCAGTTCTAGTTCAGTTCTAGTTCAGTTCTAGTTCAGTTCTAGTTCAGTTCTAGTTCAGTTCTAGTTCAGTTCTAGTTCAGTTCTAGTTCAGTTCTAGTTCAGTTCTAGTTCAGTTCTAGTTCAGTTCTAGTTCAGTTCTAGTTCAGTTCTAGTTCAGTTCTAGTTCAGTTCTAGTTCAGTTCTAGTTCAGTTCTAGTTCAGTTCTAGTTCAGTTCTAGTTCAGTTCTAGTTCAGTTCTAGTTCAGTTCTAGTTCAGTTCTAGTTCAGTTCTAGTAGTTCTAGTTCAGTTCTAGTTCAGTTCTAGTTCAGTTCTAGTTCAGTTCTAGTTCAGTTCTAGTTCAGTTCTAGTTCAGTTCTAGTTCAGTTCTAGTTCTGTTCTAGTTCAGTTCTAGTTATTTTTTACAATAAAAACGAAAACGAAAACGAATTTCAATTTCTTTCTTTCTTCATAAAAAAAAAACGATTTGGAAGTTCTCATTAATCTCATTTCTTTTGTTTCAGTGCCGAAAGAGAAGACCCCAGAAAATGCTGATCTAATTTATATCGTTATTTGTTCAATCATACTTGCCATTTTAATAACTATAACTGGTATTGGTCTATTTTTATATCGTAGACGTAAACAAGCTCACTTCAATGAAATACCCACAGTAAGTTCTCCTAAATATGTAAAATAACCAATAATAATATGCTAATCACAACTCTTCCAGAATGAAGCTGAAATAACCAATTCATCACCTTTACTCAGCAATAGACCCATACAGTTGTTAGAATTAAAAGCCAGTGGTCGTTTCGGTGATGTTTGGCAGGCAAAACTTCACAATCAAGATGTGGCGGTGAAAATATTTCGCATGCAAGAGAAAGAATCATGGAATACTGAATTGGAAATTTACAAATTACCTCGTATGCGTCATCCGAATATTTTGGAATTTTTGGGACATGAAAAACACACAGAAAAAATACAACAAGAATTTTGGCTTATATCGGCTTATCAACATAATGGTTCATTGTGTGATTATTTAAAATCTCATACGATTACATATCAAGAACTATGTAAAATAGCCGAATCGATGGCTTGTGGCTTGGCTCATTTACACGAAGAGATCTTGGCAACAAAAACCGAAGGCCTTAAGCCGTCCATTGCACATCGTGATTTCAAGTCGAAAAATGTTTTACTCAAAAATGATTTGACGGCGTGTATTGCTGATTTTGGTTTAGCCATGATATTTCAACCGGGTAAGTTCAATTTTTTTATACTTTTTATAATATTATATCACGCACATTACTATCTCATATTGTTCAGTTTGTACATTTTTATTTGCTTTGTTAATGCATTTTTTTTTTGGCTCTAAACATTGTGTATAATTTGTATAAAATTTACTTGTGTAAACTGTGTATTTAAAATCTTTAATTTACTTTTAACATTACAATGTTAAATTTATGTCAATGCGAGCAGAATGTTTTGATAAATATGAAGGCATATATGTATAAAGTCAAGGTCGGTGAAATAACTAAGTGCACCCAAAGGAAATTATTAGTTTTACAAGAATCTTAATTATTATGTTAAATTAATTACGGTAGTCATCAGTTCAGTATTCCACATTAAAAAAAAACTTAAACTGTTATACCATGATGGACATTAATTCTATATTATAGTTAACAAATTTTAAACGTTCAGTAGTTCATAAACTGTTTAGTATTTGTACTGTATTTTTGAATAAAGTAGATGTTATTAAAACAGTTTTGTTCAAGAATTAAGAAATTTATATAAATTGTTTTTTATGTTAATTCCAAAATATTTTTTATGAAAAAAATATAACTTTTAGAAAGAGGGGTTATATATGCGGTAATGGTAAATATGATCTTATCCATATAAATTTTGGTAAAGGGATTTACGTCTATATTAAAGTTATTTATGCAGAATTTCATCGTTATATTGGAGTGAATTTTGACCTTCAAGATATTTTCTGGAGGCGACTTTGTATGGGGACTTGGGTCAAAAGGATATGCGCGAAATATCATTAAATTATCTTGAAAATTGCAACCAATAGCGTGTAGGACCAATATTTTTGGGTGTTACAAAAACATCAGCACAAACACAATACCCTTCCACACCTATTGTGGTGTAGGGTATAAAAATATAAAACTTATGATTTTATTTTGTTATTTATTTAATTGATTTTCGGTTCGGTTTTCCCTTTTTATTTCTGTTTTATTTGTGTATTAATTGGTGATTGTTAAAATTAAAAAAAATGCTATTAATATTTACTAACAAAAAAGCATGATTACGCACTTCTTCATTTTCATTTGTAATAAAAAACTTACAATAAGTGTCTTACACAAAAACGAAAAAAAAAACAAATAAAATTTATAAATATTTATCAAAACAAATTAAGGCAAACCTTGTGGTGATACACATGGCCAAGTAGGCACCAGACGTTATATGGCTCCCGAGGTCTTGGAGGGTGCCATTAACTTTAATCGTGATGCTTTTCTACGTATTGACGTTTATGCTTGCGGTCTAGTGCTGTGGGAAATGGTATCACGTTGTGATGCAACAGGACCTGTAGGAGAATTCTTATTGCCATTTGAAGCAGAGGTTTGATATTGTCAATTTAAACAAATTACATAAAAGTATCTGTAAAAGAAAACGGATTTATATTTGCATTTCCTTTTTTTTTTCGCAATTTTTAGCTGGGCCAAAGACCCACCTTGGATGAGGTACAGGAGAATGTTGTTATGAAAAAATTACGTCCACAAATTTTAAATTCATGGCGTTCGCATCCGGTAAGTTCAGCACTTTAGAACAGAACTAGAACAGAACTAGAACAGAACTAGAACATAACTAGAACATAACTAGAACAGAACTAGAACATAACTAGAACAGAACTAGAACAGAACTAGAACAGAACTAGAACAGAACTAGAACAGAACTAGAACAGAACTAGAACAGAACTAGAACAGAACTAGAACAGAACTAGAACAGAACTAGAACAGAACTAGAACAGAACTAGAACTGAACTAGAATAGAACTAGTACAGAACTAGAACAGAACTAGAACAGAACTAGAACAGAACTAGAACAGAACTAGAACAGAACTAGAACAGAACTAGAACAGAACTAGAACAGAACTAGAACAGAACTAGAACAGAACTAGAACAGAAATAGAACAGAACTAGAACAGAACTAGAACAGAACTAGAACAGAACTAGAACAGAACTAGAACAGAACTAGAACAGAACTAGAACAGAACTAGAACAGAACTAGAACTAGAACTGAACTAGACTGAACTAGAACTGAAACTAGAACTGAACTAGAACTGAACTAGAACTGAACTAGAACTGAACTAGAACTGAACTAGAACTGAACTAGAACTGAACTAGAACTGACTAGAACTGAACTAGAACTGAACTAGAACTGAACTAGAACTGAACTAGAACTGAACTAGAACTGAACTAGAACTGAACTAGAACTGAACTAGAACTGAACTAGAACTGAACTAGAACTGAACTAGAACTGAACTAGAACTGAACTGAACTAGAACTGAACTAGAACTGAACTAGAACTGAACTAGAACTGAACTAGAACTGAACTAGAACTGAAACTAGAACTGAACTAGAACTGAACTAGAACTGAACTAGAACTGAACTAGACTGAACTAGAACTGAACTAGAACTGAACTAGAACTGAACTAGAACTGAACTAGAACTGAACTAGAACTGAACTAGAACTGAACTAGAACTGAACTAGAACTGAACTAGAACTGAACTAGAACGAACTAGAACTGAACTAGAACTGAACTAGAACTGAACTAGAACTGAACTAGAACTGAACTAGAACTGACTAGAACTGAACTAGAACTGAACTAGAACTGAACTAGAACTGAACTAGAACTGAACTAGAACTGACTAGAACTGAACTAGAACTGAACTAGAACTGAACTAGAACTGAACTAGAACTGAACTAGAACTGAACTAGAACTGAACTAGAACTGAACTAGAACTGAACTAGAACTGAACTAGAACTGAACTAGAACTGAACTAGAACTGAACTAGAACTGAACTAGAACTGAACTAGAACTGAACTAGAACTGAACTAGAACTGAACTAGAACTGAACTAGAACTGAACTAGAACTGAACTAGAACTGAACTAGAACTGAACTAGAACTGAACTAGAACAGAACAGAACTAGAACTGAACTAGAACTGAACTAGAACAGAACTAGAACTGAACTAGAACTGAACTAGAACTGAACTAGAACTGAACTAGAACTGAACTAGAACTGAACTAGAACTGAACTAGAACTGAACTAGAACTGAACTAGAACTGAACTAGAACTGAACTAGAACTGAACTAGAACTGAACTAGAACTGAACTAGAACTGAACTAGAACTGAACTAGAACTGAACTAGAACTGAACTAGAACTGAACTAGAACTGAACTAGAACTGAACTAGAACTGAACTAGAACTGAACTAGAACTGAACTAGAACTGAACTAGAACTGAACTAGAACTGAACTAGAACTGAACTAGAACTGAACTAGAACTGAACTAGAACTGAACTAGAACTGAAATAGAACTGAACTAGAACTGAACTAGAACTGAACTATATAATTAACTTCCTGTTCCTGATTTTCCTAATTTTAGGGTATCAGCATTATCTGTGACACAATGGAAGAATGTTGGGATCATGATGCCGAGGCACGTCTCTCCTCCTCTTGTGTTATGGAACGTTTTCTACAGCTACAAAAATATCCCACCACAATGCTAATTAAAACAAATACCAATAATATTGTGGTCGATGCTAAAGATTCGAATAATTTAAGTTTATAGAACAGGTATTAAATCACTCTTATTTATTTAAAAAATTGTCTTAACGGTAAATAAGAGTGATACAAATTTATCTTATTAACAAAGGCGCGCCACAAAATACAAAAAATATAATTATAATAACATTATATAGAGTTTTTTGTTTGTTTTAAAACTGATTAACAAAATAATAATTGTTTTAAATTGAGCCTAATCCTTTAAGTCGTTATAAACAAAAACAAAAATCTGTTAAAATTACTAAGGCTTATTTACACAATGTTAACGTCATGTAATTGTGTTCTGGGTCTATTTACAAAAGTAAATATGATGTTGTGTATACAAGCCTGGAGGAAAATATCTTATAAAAATTTGGTTTCCTTGGAAAATTTTACGACCATTGGATGGATGGATCATTCATTGTTTTAGAAAATTAGTTTCTAAATCATTTGTTTATCTTTTTATGTAAAAAGTGCACATTTTTTTGCATTAAAGGATTTTCATAATGCTTTATATTTGTTTTATAAATACAATACATATAACTAGTTTTTTTTTGTCACGAATGAGAAAAAATATTAACAAAATTAATTTAAGAACAAATAAATATGTAAAATATATTTTAAGTCAGTCTTGTCTGAATAGACTTTCTGTCTCTATTGAAATAATTAAAAATATATGGGAAATTGGAAATTTTAATATAAAAAATCAAATATTGATATCTATAGAAGTAATTATTACTAAAATTATCAGAGATTATTTAAAAGTATTACATTTTATTTATGCAATGAAATAAAATCATTAACAATACATTTTATTTTTTAATTATTTAAAAAATTTGAATGGTTCTGATTACCATGATATTTTTCTTCAAATTTTTATTGAATTTCCTATAATTCACCACCTAAATACCAAAAGTCTAGACAAGACTGTGTTAAGTATTTAATAATTAGAATTTTTAACCGATAACAAAGAGAAAATAAATAAGCAGCTAAGTTTAAAGAAAAAGTTATAAAATACAATTATATATTAAGATTTATTAACATATGACTGATTCATTAGAAATATGAAAAAAAAACAAATATTTTATTAAAAAAAAATATTTAAAAATATTAAATGAAAAAAAAGCGAAAACCATAAATCCCGTTTCCTATGTTGAGCAACCAATTGCCATGTATCTCGTCTACCATAAAATAATATCCTTATATAAGATTTTCTTTCCAAAACCACTCTGACTTTTAACAAAATATTATAGTAAATAGAATTATTATTTAATTATTTTGTTGTTTTCATTTGAATAATTTAGTATTTTATTTTAAATTATATTGTAGTTTCTTCTTATTTTGTTGTACATTTTTATTTGCAAATTTTTCTCTTGTATAAGTTTGAAATAATGTTGTAATTTTGAATGTAGAGTTTAGGTTTAATAATTTGGAGGCTTTTGATATTTTTAAAGATTTGTTTTTTTTTTTAATTTAAAACTGTTTTACTATCACAAACATAACAAGTTTTATAAAAGCCAATATTTTTGTTGCTGCAAGTATTGCGATGAAATTGGACATAAATAAGTTTTATACGAACAAAAATCTCCATAAAAGGTCTTTAAGATTTGGTCCAAATCTTAGTACATTTTAAATCCTTAATTTTTAAAACATTGTTAACTATGATATTTTTTCATCATTTTGGCAATGTAAGGATTCCGCTCCAAAGGAAATGCTTACATTTTGGATACCCTTTTCTGAAGTATTTGGACGGGACAAGGTCTAGACTATTAGGCGAGCGAGACAAAACTTCCCAAGCACTGCATTCTTAATAGTTTTTAACAGGTATGGTCACATGTTCCAAATGATGGAATATTTCGCTTTTATGAGTGAAGTTTTTCAGCCAATGCTCCCTTTTAACAAACCCATGGCATTCGGTAAAGGTTTCCTTGTCTGACCAGATTTCAGCTGGTCATAACTCTTTTGCAGACCTGGGATAAATGCATTAAATGTGTTAATGCATTAACAATTTTTCCTACATTAAAAAAAATTAATGTTAATGCATGTTTATTGCATTAACATTAACATGGGTACATTTAATGCATTAAATTTGCATTAACATTAAATATTTTTAAATTTAATGCATTAATTTTACATTAACATTAAATATTTGTGAAATTAATGCATTAATTTTGCATTAACATTAAATATTTTTGAATTTAATGCATTAATTTTCCATTAACATTAAATAATAAATAATAAAATTAATGCATTAATTTTCCATTAACATTAATGTATAAAATAATTTATAAAAATAAGAATACAGCGCTAAAGACCTCGGTCTACCTAAATTCAAGTAAAATTGAATGTTTTAAAGTCCTTTCTAATAAGTCCTATACTCGATAATACATTTTAGAAGAATAGTATCACTTCCCAGATATTCCTTTTTTAGCTTATTTTGTTAAAATCCTTTTTAATAAGTCCTATACTCGATAATACATATTAGAAGAATGGTATCACTTCCCAGATATTCCTTTTTTAGTTTATTTTGTCTGTGGAATCTTATATAAATATGATATTTAAAACACACAAGTTTGAATGGAATATAGGAGTTATTAGAAAGGATTTTAACCTATTTAATTTTAGTTGTATTTAGTTAGATCGAGGTCTTTTGTGCTGTATTTTTATTTATGTTTATCAATTTTTATATATATTAATGTTAATGGAATATTAATGCATTAATTTTATTGCTTATTTAATGTTAATGTAATATTAATGCACTAAATTCAGATATGTTTAATGTTAATGCAAAATTAATGCATTAATTTCAAAAATATTTAATGTTAATGTAAAATTAATGCATTAAATTCAAAAATATTTAATGTTAATGGAAATTTAATGCATTAAATTTTACAAATTTAATGTTAATGCAATATTTTTTACATTAAATTAATTTTTTTTTTAATTTAATGTTAATGCAAAATTAATGGAAATCGCCCAGGTCTGCTCTTTTGGTTCCACTAAATGCAGAACATTACCATAGCGCCATAAACATTTGGCTTTGGTATCGATTCAGTTGGTTGGCCGGGCTTCACATTCGGTCACTTACAATTAGACCTTAGCATTTCAAGGTCTCCCGGCTTCAATTCGTTTTGTGCCAAATATCTCTGTTTTTGGTTGAATCTTGCTACTCTCAAACATTCTGAAATCGGTGCTTGAGTAGCTGCCAATGATATTGTATGCTTTTGTTAAGTTTGACAAAAATCTTGAACACATTCATCATTCATTACCAAGTAATGTATAAAATAACCACATTACATATTACCAAATAGTGAGCATGTTTGCTGGATACCTTTGGAATAAGCTTTTATGTAAATTTGTAAAATTAATCTTCTATATATCTTTCTAAATCATACCATTATTTCTAAACAAATTCAGTTAAATTTTTTGTTAACAAAAATTTACAACAAAACGCCGTTATATTTAATAAGTTCTTTTTGTGCCTTCTTTAATTATTATGATTTTTATTGTTTTACATTTAATTTTTATGTAATAATTTAGTTTTATTGCTTTAGATTTTATAAGTAAACAAATAAAAAAAATAATACCTTCAATATAAAAGTTTTTGTTTTATTTTTTCTCAGTGCCAATATCCTCCATTTAATTTAATTTGTCATCTCTTACACAAATAAATACTTTCCCTTTTTATCGTATAGTTAAACACAATGAAAGTACAATTATTTAACTGTGTTCAGTTAAATTTGTTTAATATGTTATGTATAAACAAAAAAACATAAATTAAAATAAACGGAAAATAATAAACAAAAGAGTTTCTGAATTTATATACAAAACAATATAATATTAATTATAAAAAATAGTTATAGTTCTTTAAAATAAATAGATCAAACGTACAGTTTCAGTACCGTATTATGAGCAAAAAAAAAAAAAAAAAAAGAAAACATAACACAAAAGTACACAATAGTTAAATTAATTAAAATTTTGCAAAAAAATCAAGAAAAAAAAAACGTTTTATTCAAATACAAATCAAAAAAATATATAGTTTATTTGTACATACTGAATGCTAATTTATCTAACTACAGTCATACATACATGCAAAAAATATTTAACTAATTACATTATAATATATTAAATCTATGTTAATATGACGAAACAACTTTAGTCGATTAGAGTTAAGTTTGCAAATAATAAGATAATATTTAAGTTTTTGTTTTCCGGATTAATTGAAGAGCTCTATCGGTCTAAACATAGTTATGAGGCCATAACGAGACACTATATTCTAAAAATGCTATCTCACTAAATTAATAAGCTGAATTAGAACTTTCTGAACATACTGCCTCGGTATATCAAACTGATTAATACCATTTTCGAAGTCTTCAAGCTTATTCTGAATTTTAATTCGAATGGAAAATTTATCCGTTTGGCAATTCATTCAATATTCGATACTCCGTCACTTAAATAGCAATTTACAAAATACTAACTACCTAAGTCCTACATGTGGATTGACCATTTTGGAGAAATATAGATATATATATGTATATAAATTACATAGTTCAAATATCGAAATCATGGGTGAAGAAATGTTCGCTTGATATAGCAGTAGCTGCGCTAATAATTTTTGTTCGAATCAAATATTTAATAGTTGTGAAAACGCAATTAACGAGCGGCCCACAATCGCCCCTATTACAGGGTATACAGAGGCATCACGAGCAAAAAACTATTTCTCTCTCTTTCGTACAAAACGATTTCAGTGATTTCTTTTTGCTGTATTTTTTTTATATGTATCTCTTCTCACCAAACTATTCCAAATTTAACAAAAGCTTTATACTTAGTGCCCCTGCATTTCAATTCGAATCGAAATTTTCTCTGTTTTACGATGCTGTTTTTTTTTCTAATACCCATTTTCGATTGTAGCGAAACTGAATGTGGAAACGTAATCGTTATGTAGAATAGAGGTGAATATAGTTAACGAGTGGGGCTATGGAAGAAGTGTAATTTAGGTGGTTTAAAATCATAACTTTTAAAGGTTTATTAGCTTAATGAGACCCCAGAATTTATCCATTTTCGAGATATTTTATCCTGAAGTTTTAAAAAATCACAAAATGTTGCCATATTTGAGGTTTTATAACAACTAAGTCGCATATTTGTCGTCCAAAAGTCTTTCTTTTTTCTTAATATTATGTTTAAAACAACAGTAAATTCACAAAACTTTCTACGGCCAAAACTTCAACAGATTTTATATAATGTCTCGAACATGCACAAAATCGAGAACAATAAATTCAGTATATTTTATATTCATTATTTTGCAAATCACAATGTTATTTGACTTAAGTTGTATTAATATATTAACATAGATATTAATTAGGCGCATTTTAAATTATTTTTATTTTGTAATATTGAATTTAAACGAAAACTTTATAAAACTAAGTATGATTTAATACACCCTTTAAATCGGTTAGCATTTACAATTAGAAACAGTAGAAAATAAGAAGTACATTTTAATTAGATTTAAAAATGATTTCGGTTATATGGCTACCGAGGCTGTTCTTTGTGAAGCACGATCTAGACATTCACATCGATGAATAATTTTCAAATTAAATTTGATCATAAATGTCAAAAAGTGAGCTTTGTGTGATAGTTCGTTATCCTTTGTTAAGTTCTATCACGCTTAAGAAAACACTCAGTATATACATGAATGAAAAGAAGTTGCACTTCTCGGTTTCTCGACTTCTATGAGAAATGTTTTTACCCTACATCACTTTAGTGGGGAGGGTATATTGGATTTGTGCTGATGTTTGTAACATACAAAAATATTCGTCCTAGACCCACCTTAAAGTATACCAATCGGCTTAGAATCGTTCAGGTCGCAATTTTCAAGATAATTGGATGAAATTTGGCACGCACGTTTTATTTGACCCAAGGACGAAACCTATTGAAAATGGTTAAAATCGGTCCATTATTTCACCTAGCCCCCATAGAACAGAACCCCCCGAAAAGGGCTTCTGAGCTCATAATTATGTTAAATATACAGATATATCGATAAAATACGGCACAACTAAGTTTTATAGAAGTCTTGATAACCCTGCCAAATTTCATAAAGATCGGGCCCCATTTGACCCTAGCTCCCA